TGTTAGGAGCCTTCATGACTTGTCTTCTGCCTACTTCTCAGTCTCCTTTCTCAATACATACTAGCTTGACTGAATTTTATTTAGTTCTTCAATTTCTCTCTCTCTCCCCCCTAAATTTTCTCCTCTTATGCTTATTTATTAGCCTCCTCTACTGACTAAAAGTTCCAAAGATAGGTACCATATATCTGTCATTCCTCCTTTTATTTAAAGAATCCAGCACAGTGCCAAGACCCTAGTAGACAATTTATATGTATACTAGAGGCCCAGTGCACGAAATTCATGCACAGGGGGGTTGTCCCTCAGCCCAGCTTGCACTGACTCCAATCTGGGATCCCTCGAGGGATGTCTGACTACCCATTTAGGCTCAATCCTAGTAGGACAGTTGGGGGAGACCAGGCCCAGTAGGATTGGGCCTAAACGGGCAGTCAGACATCCCTCTCACAACCAAGGACTGCTGGCTCCCAACTGCTCGCCTGCCTGCTTTCCTGATTGTCCCTAACTGCTTCTGCCTGCCAGCCTGATCACCCCCTAACCATCTGCTGCCAGCCTGATTGATGCCTAACTGCCCCCCTGCCAGCCTGATTGATGCCTAACTGCTCACCTGCCAGGCTGTTTGACCTAACTGCTCACTTGCCAGCCTGTTTGCCCTTAACTGCCCTCCCCTGCAGGCTTGGCACCCCAAGTGTCCTCCCCTGCAGGCCCAGACACCCCCAACTTCCCTCCCCTGTCAGCATGTCACCCCTACCTGCCTTCACCTGCAGGCTTGATCACACCCAACTGCCCTCCCTTGGAGGACTGATCCCTCCCAATTGCCCTCCCTGCTGGCCTGATCACACACAAATGCCCTCCCCTGCTACCCATTTTGTGGTGGCCATCTGTATCTACATGGCGGCAGCCACATGGGGCAGCCATCTTGTGTGTTGGAGTGATGATCAATTTGCATATTACTCTTTTATTAGATAGGATAGAGGCCGGGTGAATGGGAGGGGATCAGCTGTTTTGCCCTAAAGGGTGTCCTGGATCAGGGTAGGGGTTCCCTTGGGGTGTGCAACGGCCTGGGTGAGGGGCCTGTGGTAGTTTGCAGGCCAGCCATGCCCCTCCGGGGACCCAAACAGAGGCCCTGGTATCTGGGATTTATTTATCTTCTATAATTCAAACTTTGTAGCCTTGAGTGGAGGCCTGGGCATGCCAGAGTGTGCAGAAACCGTGGCTTCCTCCATTGCCAGGGAAACCCAAGTCTCCTGCTCACTCTGTGGCTGCAGTCATCTTGGTTGGATTAATTTGCATAGTTGCTCCTGCTTGGCTGGTGGGTGTGGCTTGTGAATGTAGTGGAGTGATGGTTAATTTGCATATTACTCTTGTATTAGATAGGATATTTGCTAAATAATGGACAGAAACTTAAAGTGGTAGGTCTAATTTTTTCAGCAATATTAATTACCCATGATTCTAAGGAGAGCAGAGAGGGACACATTTGATTCCTCTAGGAGCTTCTCCATAACACATACAAGCCAAGACAGATTCATATTAAAGTCTCTAGATATCTGAATAGTATTCTTAGTCTCTTGAGTGGGAAAAATTATCCTAACTCAAAAAAGAGTAATATGTAAATTGACTGTCACTCCAAGATAAAGGATGGCCGCCCCCATGTGGTCAAAGACGGCTGCTCCCATGTGGACACAAGATGGCCGCCACAAGATGGCTGACAGGGGAGGGCATTTGGGGGGAAACCAGGCCTGCAGGGGAGGACAGTTGTGAGGGGACCAGGCCTGCAGTGGAGAACAGTTGGGGGGGCGGGGGCGGGGAGCAAGCCTGCAGGGAAGGACAGTTGGGGGCAATCAGGCCAGCAGGGAGGGCAGTTAGGGTGACCGGGCCAGCAGAGAAGGGCAGTTGAGGGGGACCAGGACAATAGGGGAAGGAAGTTGAGGAGGACTAGGCCTGCAGTGGAGGGCAATTTGGGGGGATCAGACCGACAGAGAGGGCAGTTAGGGGTGACCAGACCAGCAGGGGAGGGTATTTGGGGGCAATCAGGCCTGCAGGGGAGGATAGTTAGGGGTGACTATACTGGCAACAGAGGGCAGTTAGGGGTGATCAAGTCAGCAGGGGAGGGCAGTTAGGGGCAATTGGGCTGGCCTGGGAGCAGTTACACATCGATCAGGCTGGCAGTGGATTGGTTAGGGGGTGATCAGGCTGGCAGGCAGAAGCAGTTAGGGGCAATCAGGCAGAGGCATGCGAGCGGTTGGGAGCCAGCAGTCCTGGATTGTGAGAGGGATGTCCAACCACCCATTTAGGCCTGATCCTGGGCAGTTGGACATCCCTCAAGGGGTCCCAGATTTAAGAGGGTACAGGCTGTGCTGAGGGATACTCCCCCCATGCACAAATTTCGTGCAGCGGGCCTCTAGTTAGATATATAGCCGTATCCTTCTGGTCAGTGAATTAGCATGGTCTCACTCAAGAGATAGCATTTGGCAATGCTTTCTTTTGGCTGAACCTCTACACTTTGCTACCTAGAGATGAATTAGTCAAGTTTCTTAATTTGTAAAGCAATAGATTACTCTACTCTTTTGCACTGCCTAAGCCCCTGCCTCTATGCTAGGGGTGTCGAACTCAATCAGAGAAGGGGCCAAAATCTAAAATCCAGCCTAAATCGTGGGCCGAATGGTTTACTGAACAGTCATAAACTGTCATTGTGATGGAAACGCAGCGGAGTGCAGTGATGACAGCGCGGTGCGGGCCACATTGCAAGGCCTGGCGGGACGGATTTGGCCCGCGGGCCTTGTGTTTGACACATGTGCTCTATGCTAACTACTTTTTAAAAATAATCTAAGGCACAGAATTTGAACTCAAAACTGACTCCAGAACTTGTGCTCTGAACCACAATGAAATGAACTTGGTAAGCTATATGTCTGATCCATACTACACAGGGTATAGCAAAAGTAGGTTTACAGTTGTGAGTATGCAAACAGTTTATTCTTGTTTTATTATTTATTAATTATTGTACTATTTTCCACAGGAACTGTAAACCCATTTTTGCCCCACCCTTTATATAATAATTCTAGAAAGACAAGGAGCTTAAATTTAGATTCCAAAATTCAGTTCCTATGAAAAGCACATCTGTAATAAAGAATATCTAAGAATCTTTCTGTAGGTCAAAATGATAAGTTTTAATTTTGCATGTCAATTGGAACCACCTTAGTGGTGCCACATTAAGAGCAACTCAATATATTAAGGAAGTTAATGAAAATAGTATAAAATTTATGGTTTTTACCTATATGTTACTAAAATTCCTTCAAGTAAAACTGATCACTTATTCAATATTAGAATGAAGTCAGATATAGGCTCTACAGGCAGAACAGTTTTAAAGGGATTATGAGAAATGAGCAGAGTTCAAATATGTCTTTGAAAACATGTGAAAAAATAGAATATAAGTAACTGAAGTGATAGTCAATATAATCAAACCCATTTGCCTTCTGTGGCAGACTTCCTTGAGTATTCAGTAAATGCTTGCTATAACATACAACACTTAAAAGATATGCGAATGTATACAGGAACATACACAACCCAACTTGAGTTATGCAAGTTAAATATAATTTGTTCAATTAACTTTTCCAATTATATGAACTGAGATCATTAAAAATTTTACAATTCAGGCATCCTTGCCTCTGAGTCCCTCTTTTTTCTAAACTTTTATAGAACTACTGCCCAGTTTGGCTCAGTGGACAGAGTGTCAGTCTGCAGACACAAGGGTCCCAGGTTCGATTCCGGTCAAGGACATGTATCTTGGTTGCGGGCACATATCCAGTGGGGGGTATGCAGGAGGCAGCTGATAGATGTTTCTCTCTCATTAATGTTTCTAACTATCTCTCTCCCTTCCTCTCTGTAAAAAATCCATAAAATATACTTTAATAAAACAAAAACTACTCAAATACCTCTATTACATATAACTAAAAGTTCCAAAGACTACAAACTTCTATAAAAATACTGGTTATATAATTTAAGTTACCTCTAAAATTTAATGGTGAGAAAAACATGAGAACTTATACGATTTAATCAATAACTAAACTTTAAAATTCAAATCAAGAAAGAATAAAATCCATCGCAAAGATTCAGTAGGAAGGATGTGTGTGTGTGTGTGTGTGTGTGTGTGTGTGTATTTCAAATGGAAATATGTAGAGGAAAAATTCAAAAAATTTTACAAGGTTCTATATTAAAGTAGATTGAAATATCATTTATGATCTCAATTACTTGAAAACAGCATTTAGATTACCTCAACCCAACAGTTTAAAAGAACTAAGAGACTCAGTAATCTTTCCCCATTTCTATAATACACACAAAAGTCTAAAACTTAGAGGGCATGAGAGGATAGAACATTGTAGCTATCTCTCTAAGTGTATAGGAAAGGGAACGAAAACACATCAAAAAAATGAGACTGCTTTAAATGTTCGTAAATATCCAGAAAATTGAGAATGTTTAATAAATACTTGTCCTTGAAATTATCTTCTCCATCTGATATTCTCTACAAGTACAAACAAAATATACCATTATAAAAAAAATTTAGGGGTATGTTTATTTGACTAATTAATCAGAAAGTACATTCTGAATATTTAGGATGAAAAAATTAGATATCTACTTAACTGACTAGAGTTTGAAGGAGACATGTCAATAAAAGGAAAAAGATTAAAAATGTTCTATTATCTAAAGCTACTTAAAAAGACTGAACTTATTGTTGAAAACTCAAGTTTAGCACATATTTCAAGTAATGCAGTTTGTTTCTCTAACCTGTTATATGCACTTACAAAAATGGACAAAGGCAAAATCTCAGTATCTCTGTGGTCTTCCTAGACCATGTTAATTTTGCTTTTTGGTTAAATACAAAGGAACAGAATTATGGAGAGTTCAGCAACAAGTTTTTCATTAGGATATGAAATCATGCCACGAGTTCCAAAAAAGGGTTAGTGGTATAAATTTGGGAAATAATCACTCATGCAAAAATCAGAAAATACCTGTACCGAGCCACCATGTCTGTCTGCTGCAAGGTGAGCTCTCAAATGGTGGGGATTTGCCTGCTGGGAGTCCCAAGCTGCCCTGTGGTCTGCCGACTGCCATTTATTTAATGCATGTGGCATGGATGGAAGAAGAAAAACCCAATATGTTAAACATCTCATCCTTATAATATTGAAAACAAACGTATAAAAGGAAATTTTAAAATACCCTTACTATTCTGAGTCATAGATGCAATGATACTGCATGTGGAGAGATTTTAATTAAATTGCTACAATTATATCATGATCAACCATAAAAATAAAATACACTCATAGAATTTTAGAAGTGAAAAAACTTTAGATGTCACAGACTCCACCCTCTAACTTTATAAATAAAATTAACAAAGAATAGGGAGGTAAAAATGATGTGCCCAAGAAAGCACATGGAATGAAGCAAGAGTGAACTAGAAAGCCATTCACTATATTTTCTACAGTAGGGGTTCTCATTAGTTTTCTGATGAGGAACAACTTCTAGCAAGGTAAGAAAAAAAAAATAGTACCGTATTTTTCGGACCATAAGACGCACTTTTTTTCCCCCAGAAGTGGGGGGAAAAAGTCCCTGCGTCTTATGGTCCAAATATAGCCTACACATATACTTTAAAAAAAAAGTTTTTTTACTTGCCCGGCTCTGTGTGGTCTCTGTGTGCTTGCCCGGCTCTAAAATGGTTCTAAATGCTGCTGTTTACTTTACAGTGTTGATTACATGTGTTTATGACTGTGATGTTGGGTTTTAATGCACATAAAATATTTTAGGACACTATTTGTTTCAGAATCTTTTTTTCTTCATTTCCCTTCTCTAAAAACTGATGCGTCTTATGGTCCGGAGCGTCTTATGGTCCAAAAAATACGGTACTTAAATAGTTGTTCCCAATATTCTAGAAAACTTTTCTCTCCTGTTTCTGATTGTGAAGATAATATGAGAAAACAGAGTTCTTTGAAAAGTTAAAAGTGCTATATAAAATACTATGAAAATATAACAATTTTTCAAAGTAACAATCCTAAATATGCTTCCTTAATCTCTTTTTACCTGGTTCAAATTAAGGAACCCATTTCCCTGAAATAGGCTGATAATTCTTGATGCTTTTAGATGACTTTGGCAAAGTTGCATGGCAATAACTTACAGACTAATAAACTACTAGCAGAATTAGAAAGATTCGATTCTATGTTTCAGGAAAATATGGACAGGACTAATAAAAAGAAGAGGAGAAATAAATACAATATTTTAAGTTTCTATGACATGTTGGTTCTGCATGAGGTGCTTTATATATGTTATCTCATTTTGAGATAAGTAGTATTATCCTCATTTTACTGATGAAGACACTGAAATGAAGACACTTTCCTAAATCATAGAGTTAGCAAGGAGTACAGCAAAGATTCAAACTCAGAGTCTACTGCTTCTCCAATAACACTACTTAGCTCCTTAACACAATAACATCATGTTCTAAAGCTTTTGGTGCTCATTACTTTCTTTTTCAAAGTCAAGAAAATCTTGCCATACAGGGCCAAGCACACAGGGAACCTAAGAATATCCTTTGGGAGGAGAAGAGATATTAAAATTCAAGTAGACACAATGAATAAAAGTTCAGGCACCAAGTTCCCTAAATTAAATTGCACAATTCAAAATTACATACTTTGTGGTATGAAGTATGAAATAATAAAATAATGATGATAATTTTATAATGTCTTTTCATTAAACCCTCCAAACTCATCACCGGAATTTAGCAGATGTGTACCTTAATTAAATAAATTAGGTGAGATAAAATCTGAACAGAATGGGAGAATGAAAATGATGCTATAGATGAGACAAATATCTAAATGTCGCCTAGGAACAAAAGGCAACATTTGGGGGTCACAAACCTTTTTAAGAAGATAGTAGAATAAACATTTACCATGCACCCAACACTTTCTATAAAATATCAGGATCCACTGAACTTCAAGCATTGACTCTAGGTTACAAATTGTTTACCTTGGGACATAGCGAAGGTTTTAGCCATTTAAAGAATTAACTTTACTTCTTTTGGGATTATGAACTATGAGTTTCTCATACAACTTAAACTGTTTACTGCTTCACAGACATTTAAGATTTTTTTTTCTAGATATACAACTTTTTCTATTATGATGACAGTCTGCATATCCAGGCTTCAAGTTCAATATGTAAGCTATATTAAAGGATTTCCAGGAGAGAAAAAAAAAACACTGACTCCCTACATTTAGTTGAACAATGGCAACATGAGTAACATATGGTTCCCACCCTCAATGAGCTAACAATTTAGCTAGTAAGACATGTCTAAAATATGTAGAAAGTTAACCCTTAAAATATTTAAACTAAAGTTTAATTCAACAACAAAAGAAGAGCTTCACTTACTACAATACCTAACAGCTCAAGTAAAAATGTTCAGAGAATATGAGTTATTAATTTCTTCCAGATTACATTTGAGAAATTAACTTTGACTTATTAAATACTAACTCTGAGTCTTGACTTCTGAGCCATTTCTTTCTATATACAGCATCTATCAGAGCACTTAAGCTATCAACAAGTTGTAATTTATATTTTGAATTAATTCATATGCAAGACCCTTTATCATCCCAATTTTTCTAAGGCAAAATTCTAAAACTAAACTTTTTAAACTGGCTGTACTTTAAAGAATACTGTTAAATATCCCCTTAAAGTAGCACTTCATTTTGTGATAATTTTTAACAAGTTGTGTTTTTTCCTTGGATTTTTCATCTCTTGTTTAACCCTCACTAGAACTTTGATGGGGTGAAAGATGTAAAGGATAAACCATTATCCATCTCTAAAAACGGTTAAAATCGAAAATACTAAAGACACTTTTTAACTCAGAGTGATAACAAAATTTCTTATGCTAAAGATGGCTCCAATAAAACTTCACTCAAAAATTTCAACAGCTCTCAATCACCTTACCTAAGGAACTCCATCTTCTATGCATTATCTTGGACCTACTCTCTGCTCCTAGCAAACTGAACTACTTGCTGTTCTTCAAAGTCTACATCTGTAAACTTTTGCTTCATATTTTATACTGTTCACTCTCTCTAGAATGTTCTTATTCCTTTATCTGCCTTTGAAAATGTCATCCATTCTTCAAGCTCATCCCAAAAAACACCTTCTCCTAGTAAAATCTTTATAGTTCCTACATAGTTCCTACAATGATCTTCCATGGCACTTCATTAAAATACTTCATGCGATGGAACTTATTCTGCTTTGTAATGTAGTTATTTGTGTGTTTATTGTAATAATCATGATAACAATAACACCAACCATGAGAGTTGAGATTTATTGAAGGCTTACTATATGCTAGGAATTAACATGCATTATTTCTCTTTTATCAATGACAGAACTAAGGCTTTGAGAGATTAAGTAATTTGCCCAGGTTTAAACCATATCCAAGTATGAATGAGTACAGAGACTAAGTGAAATCTTAGACATCATTACAAAATATTTCTTATAGGTTATATTGTTTACTTACTTCTGCATTTCTGCAACATGTAAAATAGTAACTTTCAAATACTAGAGACTCAGTAAAGAATTTATTAAGCTAGACTGTAGATAGAAGGACCAACTGCTATTACAATTCATTCCAATAAGATATACAAATACTTCTATTAATATAATGTCAAAAGTTGCTCAAAATTATACCAACTTATACCACTAAATTATAAATTTATAATTAAATTAATAGTGAATAATAGGGGAAATATGTATTTTCAATTATTAGTGCGTGTATATATATTTTATCTGTTGAAGAAAAAAACATGCATTTCATTTTTTCAATATGTATATACCTGTGTATATATACACTTACTCACACATGTAAATACACACACACACACACACACACACACACACACAAAAAAAAAAAAGCAGTCACCTGGACATGACAAAACACCAAATGCACTTATAAACTGTCAGAAGGTAATACAGAAGCAAACCAAGACATTTCTTATCTAAAGGGGCAGCAAACCTGGTTTTTGGATTGTTGCATCTTATCTCTGTGTTGATGTGCTTCTCTGTTTGATGATAGAGCAGGATCTTGCTGAACTGCCCCCACTGGAGTAGGCTGCAACACAATAGCAATTAGCATCAATACAACCTATTTCAGAAGTTTTACTTAATATAATTTAGCTGTTTAAAAGACTCAAGGAATAAAGTAAAGCCTTAAAAAAAGACATTCTCACGATATATTAAAGCTAACAAAGACAACACAGCTACTCTTTAAACTGTTTTCAGAATATTTAAATGCTTTATCAAGTATTTATTTTTACTAATTTAACAACAAAAGATCTTCTAATGCTATCATTTCTTTTAAATTATTTTTTCATATAAAAAATATGAAAATATATCTGTTCATGTTTCTCATTTTCAAAGCTAATGTATAAACAGAATAAATTATTTATTAAGGGAACAACTTTTTAAATAAACTATTAAAATTGCATATTGTCACTCAGAAGAGGCCTATAAAATTTTAATTTTCAAGTACAATTCAAAATATAAATTCTTTAATCAAAGTTTCTTTGAATTTCTACCATAAATAGCATATATATTCAAATCACTTAGCATTTAAAAAAAATACATTAAACACTTAGTAAGTGAATTGTTCAAAAATACTTGAACGTGAAAGGTTAGTGGTTTCAAATATGGATAAAAACTTGTTAACAGTGAGCCACAAATAAAGAACATTTTGTAAAACATTATTATTTATTAAAATAAGATTAGTGAGAATACATATTTGATGTTTCAGAAATTGCCTCTTCAAAAAAATATAATGATGTGTCTCTTTAAGTACTAAGCACCAATCCTACAGTTATAATAAAGAATTTTTTTAAGTTATAAAAACTTAGATACAATTTTAAAAACTTACTCCAAGTATCAATCTACTCCAAGAGATAACAGAACTGCTAGAATAATTGAAATATTTTTAAATTACAAATATTTTAAAAGATGGCTAAAGTAAACAGAAAACAAAACTAGCTGGTCATTTAAAGTAATCACTAGAATATTAGAACAAAAAAAATATATATATCTGACACCAAGAATTAAATTAGGAATAAAACGTTTTAAAAATCACTCTAAAAAGCAGAGTCTAAATGTAGGGTATTTATAAAATTCAAAGGATAATATATTAGTATTGTGTTACCTAAACTATCCGTAAAAGGGAATAAAATGAACCCTTTTTCAAAAGTATTTGTTTTCAACTCCTTTCAGTTGAAGGATCTATACTGTGGGGGAGAAAACACAATAAAATATGTATACTAATAAAAGGGTAATATGCTAATTAGACTGGGAGACCTTTCCGGACAAAACTACAGTGGTGGGGCTGAGGCAGAAACAGTTAAGGGTGATCAGGCCAGGCAGGGTGGGGGGAGGGCAGTTGGAGGCAAGCAGTCTGGCAGGGGGATGGTTGGGGGTGAGGAGGGCAGCAGGGGGGAAGGATAGTTGGGAGTGAGAAGGCTGGCAGGCAGAGTGGTTAGGGGGCGATCAGGCAGGTAGGCAGGTGAGCAGTTAGGAGCCAGCAGTCCCAGATTACAAGAGGAATATCCAACTGAAGGGTCCCAGATTGGAGAGGTTGCAGGCCACGCTGAGGGACACTCCCCCTGAACAAATTTTTTGCACTGGGCCACTAGTTTTACTGTATAGCAGAGAGTACTCACCAACTGTTTACCCATCCAGTCATATTCATAATCAAACAGATATCCTTTTCGATCAAACAAGTCAGTAAAAAGCTTTCTTAGGTAGTCATAATCTGGTTTTTCAAAAAAATCTAGCCTTCTTACATAACGAAGATATGTTGCCATTTCTTCTAGAAAGAAAATAAAATTATTTTAAATATACTTTTCTAGATACTCATTAATAAATTATTTAAGTGTGTATAAAGCATACAGTAGAAAAATAAAATTCTATATTGCAATTCAAAATTTTATAAATTTAATTACAATGACATTTTTTTAAAAGGGAGGAAATTTCTAACACCTTGGTTATGAGCAGTATTGGAACCAACTGACCTAGCAAAATAATCCTCAGAAATATAACACAGAAGTTGTTTAATTCTTCTTTTAATTTCTGGTTATACAATTAACAGTCATGCATTCCATTAAAATTCTAATGTATTAGAGATATGTACACTTTTAAAAGGTCATACTCTCCAGAATGAAAAATATATAAAAATCACTAGGCAAAATGGTAAGCAAAACCATGTTTCAGCATGGAAGCACAAAAAAATCACTATAGTAAGAGATAGTAGGTTGCACTTAGCTGCTTCTCTGATTCAATTCATTCCTGGTAGCCAATAAGAACAGGATCACGCAAAGCTCAATGAGCAGTGAAACTGGCACCCAGTGACCTTGATCACATGGTGAAGCTCACTATTCCACTTTCTAGCTAATTATCTGGTTAATTTACTTTGGCACCATCATTTTTCTTGCAGAAATGTATATAGGCTTCTTAACTTGCACTCAATCTGCCTATACCTAAACTGCTAGTATTAGTACAAATGTTTTTTTTTAACCCTCTAGTTTTAGATTAAAAAAGAAAAACATATAATTAAAGTTTGCTGACAATGAATAATATAGCAGACTTGGAAAAGAGCTACCAGAGATTATACTGCTGGTATTATTAAAGTAATAATAATAATACAGGCAAAGTTATGGATATCAATGTGAGATTGAATTCAGCCTTCTATCTTCAAGTTTGGTTCTCTGTTTTCTCAATGTTATTGCAAGTATTTGAATATATTAGCAACACATTATTCTTTATTTTTTATTATTTCTTAATTGATTTAGAAATCTTAAGTTTTTATTGGTTTGAGTTGCTGTAAATCTACATGAAAGCTAAACTATTTTCATAAAGTTCCTTAATATAAAACTAGCCTTAAGGTAATAAGGGTAGCAAGATTTTACTGTACTTTGAAAACTTGACTAAATCGCCGGGACCGGTTTGGCTCAGTGGATAGAGCATCGGCTTGTGGACTGAAAGGTCCCGGGTTCGATTCCGGTCAAGGGCATGTACCTTGGTTGCGGGCACATCCCCAGTAGGGGGTGTGCAAGAGGCAGCTGATCGATGATTCTCTCTCATCGATGTTTCTAACTCTCTATCCCTCTCTCTTTCTCTCTGTGAAAAATCAATAAAATATATTTAAAAAAAAAAAAAAACTTGACTAAATCATACAACACATACCTACGTTAAGCTGGACAATGAGACTCAAATGACTAATATTATACACTGAAACTTTATAGTTGCTATTTCTTAGCAAATATTTTTTAAATTCTTTATTGTTTAAAGTATTACATATGAATCTTTTTTCCCCCATTGACCTCTCGCCACTCACCCTACTCTCTCCCCTCCACCCCCGCACATGTCCTCACCGCCCCTATTGACTGTGTCCATGGGTTATGGATTATGCTTATATGCATGCATACAAGTCCTTTGGTTGATCCCTCTCCCTCCTTCCCTCCAACCCCCCTTCCAAATATTTTAACTTCTTAAAAGTATTTTATTGAAGAAAGCATTACTTCAGCTGGTACAGGTCTGCATTACTAAAGATGGGATTTTCTTCTACTACCCTGTTTCCCCAAAAATAAGACAGTGTCTTATATTAATTTTTTCTCCCAAAGTTGTGCTACGTCTTACTTTCAGGGGATGTCTTATCTTTCCGTGTGCTAGGTCTTATTTTTGGAAGATGTCTTATTTTCGGGGAAACACGGTAATACCATCTTAACAAAGCAAATATAGAAACTAACCCTGTGGTCTGTGCATCAAATGCTGACATCTTTTAAATAATATTTTGAGCTCAGTTTTTTAAAAACATGAAAAAAAGGTATTTATAGACTTAAACAATGATTAACAGATCTGGTCTTTTGTGTGAGAATATGGACCAATGTGGCATCATTTATTACCTGGAAAATTTTCACATAACATTTCTATTGGTGTGGCTCGTTTTGTATCTCCAATTTTCTGATACCTCTCTTTTAGTGTGTCAGCCTAAAACAGGAGAAGAAAAAAACCTTGAGAAAGTGGTAATTTTAAAATTAAACACTTGGAAGACTAGATTGCAATATATTAACAATTTCTAAAATTCAACAAGGAAACATAAAAATGTTTACCTTTAAACCTTGCCAAGGAAGACTTCCTCTAAGAAAATACATGAACATATGACCTAAAGCTTCTAAGTCATCTCTTCTACTTTGTTCTGAAATATAAGAAGAATATAAATTTCACTTGCCTCTTCCAGTTAAGAATGCAAGAATGGAGAACTAATTCCTCTGTTATATACCAATTAATTCCTAAAAGTTTAGTATATAATACATATTATAGATCTAGTGCTTATATGTAACAAAGTCTTATCTAGTGAAACAATAATGATTTTAACATTAAAATTATCATACATCTTTAAAATATGCTATATTTCCGGTGATACTATTGAGGACTTATTTCTCTCCTGAGATATCTATTCATAGAAACATAAGGCAAGGGGGGAAAGGTTCTATGGTCAAATAGAGTCACTGCGTACTAAAGCTCTGTCTTAAAGATTCAGAATGTAACATATGAAAGATTCTAGGAAAAAGCCTAGAGTTTTTCCCTAAAAGATTAATGCTAATGTTAACCTTAAACGTTAAACCCTAAAAATGTCTAACTTCATTTAACCCTGATTTCCTAAATTTATGAGCACAATCTTCCATCCCACAAGCATCAGTGATTTTAAAAACAATTAGTATTCTCTATAATGTTTTTTTAAAAATACTTGTGTTTGATACACCCCAAGATGCATAACCCCTCCAAAAATGTACTGCTATAAACAATTGTCATTTTCAAATTGCTATTATTGTTTTAGTAGTAAACTGTTGTATAGCACACAACAAAATGACAATCACAACGGTAAGTATTTACAAATATCAGCTTAGTGCATTTTTTCAGTTTTTTAATCACTGAAGTTAAATGCTTAAAATAACATAAAAATGCTGACAAACAATAAAAGGAAAAAATAATACTTTAATAATAAAAGGATGTTCATGTGCAAGATGTTCTATACAAATGAATAATCATACTATCTAAGCAATACTAAATGTTTTTGAAAAGTCAAACGAACATTAAAGCTTCAGAAAAGGTTTTAATTTTTGCTATATAATTTCATAACATTCTATAATTGTCTCCTGTAACATGTGCTACAGTTTTAAAATATAAGTTTGCGCTATTTTTTATTCAATATCTATGCTCCCACCAAATAGTAAGTCCCAAAAGGCCAGATGTCTGTCTTCTTGGCTCATTATTCTCAGACCTAGTATAATGGCTGCCCAGAGCAGGCACTTAACACAAACTATTTAAATATATAAATGAATATTTGGAAATATACACTACTAGATATATGTCCCTTTTCTATAAGTACATGAAAATATCATTAAAAAATATGCATCAAATCATTAGTAATCAGGGGTATGAGACTGGAGAATGAGACAGGACATTTCAATTTCTCATTTCATATACTAAAAAATGTGATATAATTGGAAGTTTTTCTTCTATTTTGTATTATAACAATACTAAAGGCCTAGGTTCCCTCAGCCCAGCCTGCACCCTCTCCAATTAGGGACCTCTTGGGGAATGCCAATTTAGGCCCAGTCCCTGTGGACATCGGACATTCCTCTCGCAATCTGGGACCGCTGGCTCCTAATCAATCACCTGCCAGCCTGCCTGATTGCCCCTAACTCTCTGCCTGCCTGCCTAATCACCCCAAACTGCCTTCCCCTGCCAGCCTGATCACCCAAACTATTATCACCTGCTGGCCTGGTCACCTCCAACGGCTTCCCCTGCCAGCCTGGTCACCCCCAACAGCCCTCTCTTGCAGGCCTAATCTCACCCCAACAGCCATCCCCCCTGCTGGCCTGATCTCTCACCCAACTGCCCTCCCTTGCAAGCCTGATCTCATCCCCAACTGCCCTCCCTTGCAAGCCTGATCTCACTCCCAACTGCCCTCCCCTGCTGGCCAGTTCATCCCCAACTGCCCTACCCTGTAGGCCTGATCTCACCCCCAACGCCCCTCCCCTGACAGCCTGGTCGTCCTCAAACTGTCCTCCCCTGCAGGCCTTGTCGCCCCCAACTGCCTGCTGGCCTGATCTTGCCCCCAACTGCCCTCCCCTGCTGGCTTGATCTCGCACCCAAATGCCCTCCCCTGCAGGCCTGATCTTGCCCTCAACTGCCCTCCCCAGCTGGCCTGATCTCATCCCCAATGGCCCTCCTCTGCCAGCCTGGTTGCCCCCACCTGTACTCCCCTGCAGACCTGGTTATCCCCCAAGTGCCCTCCCCTGCCAGCCTGATCACCCCTAACAGCCTCTGCCTCAGCCCCCACCACCATGGCTTTGTCGGGAAGGAAGTGGGACATCCGGAAGATGAACCAGTCTACCCAATCTAATTAGCATATTACCTTTTTAGTAGTATAGGTAGATTCATAGGATAGGATTGCTTAAATGGAGAGGAAAGGTCTTTTTCATCAGGAGGAGATGCTCTTGGCAAACAAAAATGCATAATCCCTATATCTGGACTAAGAGCCAGCCATATACACTGTACTGCCAAACCAGTCAGTCATTCAAAAACCTTACACCCAAAAGTTGTTGCCCTTAAAACACCTCCTCAGCCTCCACCTTAGGTTCTGCCTTTGCAGTTCACCCAAATTAGATTCTGACTACTTGGTTTCTATGCCAGTCAGCATCAAAAGCTCCGCCTCATAGGCAGCCACTGACTCCTCGCAATTTAGTTCTGATTGGTCAGTTTCTATGCCAAACAGCATCTTCAAGCCTATCTCCAGGCCTGATCCACAACCTCCGCAGCAGCTGCGGATCAGGCTCTGCCTCTCTCTCCCGCCTGATCTGCAGCAGCAGAAGCAGCAGCAAAGTCATTAGGCTTCCAGCCCAGCCCCAGGCCAGAGGCTAATGACCTGCCCCACCCGCCTTGCCCCGCCCAGCACCCCCTACCCACCAGCCGCCAGCTTTGCTGTGATAGGAGCCTGTGGGCCGTGGGGTAGGGACCTAGAAGTGCTCCATGCATGTCCTGGTGACTGGTTGACCATCTGGTCATTTAGGTCGTGATGGCCCTGGCCTTTTATAATGTAGATAAGCATATGCTATTGAAAACAGCAAACTTTCAAAATAAGTAAAATAGATTTAAAGTTTTTGTAAAGCCATTAATGGATGAGGGATGTGAGTAACATGGAAAAATCAGTAATGCCTTTCATTACTAAAATTATATTTTATTAGGTACTGGAAGTATTAAGAATAAAAAGTCATGCCAAAAAAATTCTGAAGTCTTGCTGAGAATCAGAATCAACCCCTGAATCTTTTAAAAGCCTTAAGTAAGCAGGCCTAATGCCAGAGATTGATTCTTTGGGTACATATGGAATAAAATAATGTACATTTCAGATATATCTTTTTAATTAATTTCAGAGAGGAGAGGAGAGTTAGAAACATCAATGATGAGAGAAAATCATTGATCAGCTGCCTCCTGCACCCCCCCCTCCCCCACTGTGAATCAAGCCCACAAGCCAGGCATGTGCCCTTGACTGGAATCAAGCCAGGGACCCTTCAGTCCACAGGCTGCTCTAGTCACTAACTAAACCAGCTAAAATGTACGTTTTAAAAATTCAGATAATTCTAAAGTACAGTCAGACTTGGCAAGCTCTAAAAAGGAAAGTTCTTTTATTGATTTAATTATTTAACATATAATAAAATACACACATTATAGGGGTACAGTTAGATACACTTTAACAACCTAAGTACCATATATTAAAGGACCTTTTTGTAACTTCCAGTTTGAGGCCATTGTGAATAAAACTGCTATGAACATCCTTATACAAATCTCTGTGTGACATATGCTTTCATTTTTCTTGGGTAAATATCTAGGAATGGATTACTGTGTCATATGGAAATTATAGGTTTAGTGTTATAATGAACTTCTACACTCTTCTCCAAAGGGGTTGTGCCATTTTATATTTCCACCAGCGATGTAGGAAAGTTCCAGTTGCTCCAGAGCTTGTTCGACATTTACTAGTAGTATAGCCAATCTTTTAAATTTTAGCAATGCTGGTGGCCATGAAATATGAGCTCATTGTGATTAAATCTGAATTCCACTAGAAACTTATTTTTTAACATCATTTCATGTGTTACTGGTTATTCACACATCTTTTTGTTAAGTGTTCAAATATTTAACAATTTTTTAAGTTCTACTCATTGTCTTATTCTAAAGTTGTAAGAATTGTTTGTATATTCTGGATGTCATTTTCAGATATAAAGATTACAAATACTTTCTCCCTCATCGGTGTTTTATCTCTCTATCCCTCTCCCTTCCTTAAAAACCCACAAAACTAGAGAATTTCTTGAAGAAAAATTAGAAGAAAAATCTTTGTGATCTTAGGGTAGTCAAAGATTTCCTAGTAAATTGGGCTTCTTTCAAAGAACAAAAGTGTTAATTTTGACACTGACCTCACTCCCTTCAAAAATTAACCAAAATGGATCACGTACTTAAGTATTAACACAAAATTATAAAATTTCTAAAAAAATAACACAAGAAAGATGGCCTTAGTTTTAGCAATGATTTTTTAGATATAACGTAAGTATAATCCATGAAAGAAATAATGATGAGCTAGACTTCATTAAAATTAATAACTTCAGCTCTGCAAAGACACCATCAAAAGAATGAAAAGATAAGCAGCAGACTGGGAGAAAATATTTGCAGAAGACACATCTTATAAAGGGCTGTCATCCATAATATATAAAGAATTCTTAAAATTCAAAAATAAGAAAATAACCTGATTGGACTGGGCCAAGACCTTAACAGACACCTCAAAAAAGAAGATATACAGCTGACAAATAAGTATGTGAAAATCTCAGATCCTGTAATAAAAAATGCAAATTTCCATCTCTTAGAATGGTGTTTACAACATTGACAACATCTAATGCTGCCAAGAATGTGGAGTAGAAACTCTCATTCATGGTTGGTGGGATTGCAAAATGGTACACCCACTTTGGAAGACAGTTTGAGGGTTTCTTACAAAATTAAATATACTCTGACCATACAACCCAGCATTAAGATCCTTGGTATTTACCCAAAAGAATTGAAAACTTATGCCCACACAAAAACACACACATGAATGTTTATAGCAGTGTTAGTCCTAATTGCCAAAACTTGGAAGCAATGAAAATGTCCATCAGTAGGTGGATAATCTATAGTACTTCTAGACAATAGAATATTATTCAGTATTAAAAAGAAATGAGCTATTGAGCCATGAAAAAACATGCAGTCTTAAATGTTTATACTACGTGAACTATACCAGTCTGAAAAGGCTACATACTATGTAATTCCAAATATATGGCATCTGGAAAAGGAAAACTATGGAAACAGTAAAAAGACCACTGGTTACCAGGCGTTGGAGGGAGAGAGGATTAGGTAGAGCATAGAAGATGCTTAGGGAAATGGAACTACTCTGTATGATGTTACAATAGTGATACATGTTATTATAAATTTGTCCAAAACCACAGAATATACAACACCAAGAACAAATCCTAAAGTAAACTATGAACTCTAGGTGACAAGGATGTATCAATGTATGTACTCATACATCAATTATAACAATTGACCCCCTCTAGTAGGGAAATGTAACTAATGCATGTTTGGGGACATGGGGGTCTAAGAAAAATCTCTGTACCTTCCACCTAATTTCTATTTATCTAAAACTGCTCTTTAAAAATGTCTACCTTAAAAAATACTATTTAAATGCATTTTCTCTAAATTTACTTAGATAAAGGTATACATCCTCCCACTCTCCAACTGATATACCACTATATAAAATAACAATTATACAAAAATGATGACCCTGGCCTAGCCAGTGTGGCTCATTTGGTTAACCCATGCATCAAGAGGTCGCCTCTTCAATTCCCGGTCAGGGCACATGTCCGGGTTGCAGGTTCCATCCCCTGTAGGGAGCATGCAGGAGGCAGTGGACCAATATTTTTGCTCTCAGATCAATGTTTCTCTCTTTCTCTCTCTCTCTCAAAAATCATATTTAAAAAAACTAACATTGGGCTATAGGGAAGTTGTGAGTTCATGTCTCTCAATAAAAAGGTGATGAACCTCTGTTGGTTGTTATAAAACAGCTTGTTAATAACCACCAAGAAATGGAAATTTCTCACAACTAAATATAGGCGTGCCAGATTTTAATAAATGACACAATCTTGAAAGTTGACTATCTATCCAATCATATTTTAAATCTATTGAGAAAAGTGTGCTACTGAAAGCACTCCCCACAAACACTTCCTAAACCCAACTTGTGCTTTATAATTTTAGGTGTTTGAAACTTACTTTTCTTAAAGAAGGGCAAATTTACATTTTTCAGGTATTTTCAGACATCTGCAAAGAAAAATACCATGAGCCTACTATCAGGCCAGCTGACAGGGAAGATGCCAAGTGCTATTTAGTTCTGAATGAGCAGAAGCAGAGACATGCAGTATACAGCTTGTAAGTCTGGGGAGACCAGTTAGACTTGGGCTAAACTAGGAGTTGGAAGTTGGATTAGATGACTTATAAGGACCTGTACAAATTATGGTCATACATTGTGGGTACATTTGAGCAGTGATGATGGATAATGTATGTTCCTGTCTATTCTCCCTTAAGAAGATAGAATCTAAAAGCAGAAATTTAAGTTTGGCTTCCTCTGATATGAAAACCAACCATAGCGTAAGACTTAACAATAATTACTGTAAATACAACTTAGAACTGAATGTTTTTAAGAAGTCAGAAAAGTAATTCAATGGGAAAGAATATATTATAAAAAGAACTTCGCCCAGCCAGTGTGTCTCAGTGGTTGAACTTCTACCCAAGCACCAAGAGCTCGCTGGTTTGATTCCATGAGTCCATACTGATAGAAGTCAATAAAGGGGAGAAGAGAAAGCTTTTGCTTACGTCAGAATATCAACTAACTACATAATTGATGGAGTTAGAAAAATCATCAATGGATGCTAGATCTAGTGGATAAAAACGTGATGAGGAACAACATGTTTACAGAATCTCAAAGATCTACTTACAAAACACTTTTTAATAACAAAGGGAAAATAAAAAACTGTTAAGTAGAGACAATTAGCAGACACTATCCTAAACAAATGATCAAGATACTTGAAACCAAGTGACATCATGTACCTCTTGACATTTTGCAGTGAGAACATATCACTTCTATGATACTTGTGCTAAGAATGCATACCAAAATATAATCATGAGGAAATATCAGACTGACACAAATGGAGAGCATTCTACAAAACAGTCATGAACAATAAAGAGAAGGGAGGAACTGGTCCAGATGAAAAGAAGCTAAATAAATATGACAAATAAATGATAATGTGTGGTCCTGGACTAGGAAAAAAATAAAAGCTGTAAAAAATCCTGTGAGGTTGATACTATTTTATTCTTTTTACAAATAAGGAAACCAAAGTCGTATAGCTAGTACATAGGAAAAGTAAACAGTACCGCTAAGGTATGTCCTCTTAGAATTCATTAAATATATTAGGCATTTGTTATTTCCTGGCTAACTGTATCAAAGTGCTATATTCTCAATCAAAAATATTTGCACAAACTAAATTCAGTTAGAATTAAGTATTCTATCATATCCTTTTAACAAATAATCAAATGCATCATCCTCACTATATCAATATTGAACATTTCAAATTATATTTTTTTAAAGATATAGTGAATGCAAGGATATCTGTTATTCATTTACTCTAGAACAACTAATTTTAAAAAATGTTTTATTAAGCCTGACTAGTGTGTCTCAATGGTTGAGCATCAACCTATAAACCAGGAGGTCACAGTTCAATTCCAGTTGTGGACTCGATCCCAAGGATAGGGTGTGCAGGAGGCAGCAGATCAATGATTCTCTCTCATCATTGATGTTTCTATCTCTCTCTCCTTCTCCTTCCTCTCTAAAATTAAAAAAAAAAAAGTATTTTTAAAAACAAAGTGAAATAAATAAAAAATGTTTTATTAAATATAAATAAAAGCTAGATATGATAAATAAAAATTATAATAAAAGCAGTTGTAACCTGCAAAAATTGAACCATAATAACAAATATTAAAACTCACACCGTTAGCATAGTTACTGAATTTAAACAAAAGGTACACATACCTTTTCCTAAATGTGTATTTATGCTCATATATCTAGCTGTTCCTGTAAGGCTCTTGTGCTCTCTGTATGGTATGTGTTTCTTTGTCTCTGGATCAATATATTCCTTCGCCAAACCAAAATCTATAATATGAATAACTTGCTGGGTTTTATTTCCTGGTCGTCCTATTAAGAAGTTCTCAGGTTTTACATCTCTGTATATCAAGTTCTTTGAATGAACATATTCCATACGAGAAATCTTGATTTTAAAAAGAGAAGGAAGATAAACTTTATTTTAATCTTTTGACTAGCATAAAAAAAACATGATAGAGGCAAGACAACTTTCATAATAAAAACATTAAAAAATCAGAAATTGTTTCAACCCTTTAAAAGTAACATATCGATCTATATATATACTCAAATATATATCTGATTATGATTAAAATTCTTTGCTTTTACTATTAATGTCACTTATAAATGAACATGTTTGAATTTTATGAATTCCTTTCAAATCAGTAAGCCTGATTTAATCTATATTTTAAGATAATGCTATATCATAAAATCGAAAAGCTTTACCAACACTAAATCTTGAACTCAACAATATAAAGACATATTCACAAAGTTGCAGTTTATTCTTCCTCATCAGTTAAGTAATCAAGCAACTTTTACAATCATATTTTAAAATCTTAAAAAGTCTAAACTGTTAAATAAAAACAATTAACAGAATACCCTTTAGTAAATCTTCTTTTTGTAACTTGTTTTCTTTACATTTTCCTTAGGTATGAAATATTTTAAAAGATCTTAAAACTTTAAAATGTTCAAATATCTTACTTAATAAAAGAGAAACATGCAAATTAACCATCATCTGCTATGCCCACAACCAATCAGAGTAAGTATGCAAATTAACCCAACAAAGATGGAGGTTAATTTGCATATTCAGGCTTGGAGCAGTGTGAAGCCTGCTATGAGGGGAAGGGAAGCTGAAGAAGGAACTACTAGAATGGTGCTCCAGACAGATGTGAGGACTTGCCCGGCTCTGGGGCGGCGAGGGAGCAAGGATTTGCCGGCTCACAGGTGGCTGGGGAGTGGTGATTTGCCAGCTCCCTGTCAGCTGGGAGTGAAGCCAGGGGAAGGAAGGCCTATTCTTGCACGAATATTGTGCAATAGCTTCTAGTAGTCTAATAATGATACAGTACATTTTTATTGTTTTACACATTCTCAAATAATGTTCAGTGTACAAACTATCACCAATAGAACATTACAAATAAAATAAAATTGCATCATTTAGTGGTAATCACAACTGACAATTCAATATAAATATACTATAAACAGGTCATTTTAGTTGGTTAACAAATTTTGGATCATATAATATATAATATTCTATACCCTATACTTTTAGTTAATGATATATTATGAGCATTTTCCAGGTCATGAAACTTTCTTTTAATACACACTTTGCATTAAAAGTATGTATTATTTTAAATGCATACTTTACTATTATATGGCTATTAACAACCTATTCAACTAATCCTGTTATTTCTATACATTTGGATGGTTTCCACTTTATTATAAATATCCTTGTACAAAAACCTTTAAGTACAGCTGAATACTTCCATAGGACAAATTTATAGAAGTGGAATTAATGAGTCAATGGAAAAAAACAACTTTAAGACTTCTGCACCACACTTCTATTGACATTTATTTCAAAATTGCCTTAAAATCCTCTTCTAGATTTGTTTTCCCAAAGGTTCACTAAACTTAAATAATTTAGAAAACTTCTCATTAGTTTGTTTCCTCTTTTTCTCAGCCATCAGAATTTATTACTAAGATTTATAATCCATGTTTTTGAGGGTTTTCTTTTCTAAGTATTCATCTTCTAAATGAAAAGAGCTAGAAACAACCTAATTCTCAAACTGAGTATTCTGATCTTAAAGCAATAAAATATTGTTTCATAAAAATAAAATACTGCACCTGATTCAATTATTTTAAGTTACATGCGTCCTAAAAAGACAACAGGAAAGCAGAAACATTTGTATTAAGTTGAATGCTCTGCAAGATTATGTAGCAAAACTTGAAACCTTTCATATAAACTTGTGACTAAAGAACCACACAATTGTTCAAATGACTTCAAAGCACCCTGCTTTACTTACCAGTTGGATAGCTATCATGAGAACTGTTTTAAGAGAAAATGTTCTATCACACAAATCAAACAAATCTTCCAAACTAGGTCCCAGCAGTTCCAGCACCATAGCGTTGTATTTACCACAAGGGCCAAAATAGTAAACTTGAGGTATACCATCTGAGGGGGGAGAGGGAGGAAGAAAAAGAAAGGATTTTAACAATTTCCTCGTCTTTGATATCAAACTTTTCTTCCTAGAAAATTCAATTTAAAAATTAATTTTGTAGTTTCAAGAACAGCAGCAGGAGTTTTACATTTCCCATGGATACAATAAAGTTTTCCTGACCCAGCCTTCTACTAGAGTGTAGCCTGGTTACACTTCCACAGCAGCTGCATGACTGAACTACATTACAAACAGTGCTTCATTGTTGGTCTCTACCACCTCATCAAAGACAGGAACTGGGCATTTTAGTCTTATATTTCCATGACCTAGAGAAATGCTTGGCACCTAGGAATGATTTGATTTTCACTGAACAAAAGAGTCACTGTTCTCTTTAATAACACTGTGGCAGGCATAACGCTGAGATCAGCCTCCAAGAGTCCCATCCCCTGGTGTATACACCCTGCACAATCTCCTCCCTCTAAGTGTGGGCAAAATTCCCAGGTTTCACTTGTGATCAGGTGTTGTTATATGGCAAAGATGATATAATTAATACCCCTATCAGTGGACCTTAAAGTAATCAAAAGTATTCTGATGGGCCTAACCTAATCAGGTATGTCCCTTAAAAAGAGGGTCTAGAAGTCAGAGACCTTTAGATTCAAAGCTCAGAAATGTTTTCTTGTTGACCTTAAAGAAGAAACCTACCATGTTCTGGAGAAAATCATATGCCAGGAAATGATGGGAAACTCCAAACTGAAGGACTTGGTCCCACAGCCATGAAGAACAGAATTCTGGGAACAGCCAGTGAGCTAGGAAGAGGACTGAGCCTCAGGTAAGATTGCAATCTGGGTTTACATCTTGATTCCAGCCAGGCAAGACTCTCAAAAGAGGACCCAGCTAAGCCATGCCTGGACTCCTGACCCCTGGGAATTGGCAGAAGATCTACTGTTCTATGCCACCAGGTACTGAATAATTCATTATTCAACAATACAAACTAATCAAACTTCAAATTTAAAGTCTAAATGCATAGAAATCATCTGTACTTTAAGAGCTATAAGAGACTCCCAAGTAGCAAATATAAATAGGTGATCAATTTATCTTAACACTGCATTTATCTATTCATCATGAGGAAATGAACTTCTTCCATCTTAAATGTCTCAGTTTTACTTACAAGTGGTATCAGATTTTTTAGAAGGGAAAAAATCTTTTGAATAAATCCTTCCCATTTTTTTTTTTTTAAGTAAAGAGCTTGGAAAACACAACTTTATTCTCTATTCCCTCTATCGTTGTGAATATTTATTGCAGGGGCATAATAGAAAACATTCAACTAGAAGCCAGGACTACTAGTTTTATAGTTTATCCCAATATTAACCATTTAACCTCTCAGGGAGGCTTGCATTGGCTTAACTATAGTACCAGGAGTCCAATGCACGAATTTGTGCACCTTGAAAGGAACTGTGGGCTCTGGGGCTATGGTGTGCACAGGGGCAGGTCTCAGCCCATCCTCCACAGCCAGTGTGAGTGGAGCTGGTGCCAACAGAAGGTGCAAGCACCCGGTGGGACTACGGCACACACTTGGGAGCAAAGAATTTTTAGTAACCACCAGAGGCTCGCCCCAATGACAGCGACCAGCAACCCTGCCTTGGTCTGGCACCCTACTCACCTGCTCCACCATCCCACCACAGCTGACACCCTCCATATTACATGCTCTGCCACCTACTGTTGACACCCACCATGTACTGCATGCATCCCTAGTGGTCAGGGTACGTCATAGCAACCAGCTGTTCAGTTGTTCTGCCATTCGGTCTATTTGCATATTAGCCTTTTATTACATACGACTAGTGGCCCAATGCATAAAATTTGTGCACGGGTGTGTGTGTGTGTGTGTGTGTGTGTGTGTGTGTCCCTCAGTCTGGCCTGGACCCTCTCCAATCTGGGACCCCTCAGGGGATGTCCGACTGCTAGTTTAGGCCCGATCCTGGCAGTCAGACATCCCTCTTGCAATCTGGGACCACTGGCTCCTAACCATTCACCTGCCTGCCTGCCTGATTGCCCCTAACCACTCTGCCTGTTGGCTTACTCACCCCCAACTACCCCCTCCCCACTGGCCTTCTTGCCCCCAAAATCGCCCCCCTTGCTGGCCTGCTCACCCTCAACTGTCCCCCGTTGCTGGCCTGCTCACCCTCAACTGTCCCCCCACCCCGCCACTGGCCTTCTCGCCCCCAACTGGCACCCCTTGCCAGCCTACTCACCCTCAACTGCCCCCCCTACCAGCCTGCTTGCGCCCAACTCCCCCCCTTGCTGGCCTGCTTGCTCCAACTGGCCCCCCTTGCCAGCCTGTTTGCCCCTAATTGCCCTCCCACGCTGGCCTGCTCGCCCCCAACTGCCCTCTCCTCCTGGTCTCATGGCTCCTAACTGCCTCTGCCTTATGGCTTTTTTCAGAAGGACATATAGAAGGTCTCCCGGAAGATCTCCCAGTCTAATTAGTATATTGCCCTTTTATTAGTATAGATTACTAGTTTGGATAAGACCAGTGTTTCTCAAATGTGACCCTGAGTGAGGCAGCAGAATATCTGAAGATAAGGAGGTAAGATAATATAATCAGGGCAGGAATGAAGGGAAGGGGACAAGTTCAAATTGCATACATGGCCTCCTCCCAGAAACAGAGATCCCCATACATGCCCATATGTATATGTTAGCACCTCCATCTCCTCTCTCTCTCTCTCTCTCTCTCTCTCTCTCTCTCTCTCTCTCTCTCTCTCTGTCTCTCTTTCACACACACACACACACACAAACACACACAGAACTGCAACTGGGAATCACTACTGTAGTATGTTGTAGTATGTATGAATCACTTTTACCAAAGCTACTCTTATCATATGTGTGTCACCTACCCCTCACATGTATAAAAGTAGATTAGAGGCTTACTAAAGTTTATTCCAACTCTAAAATACTGCTTTAACAAAGCTACATACATTAAGATTTGAGAATGGCAATTAAGACTTATTAACAGCCCTCAGCTACTAAGCTTTTAAAATTATTTCTACAGTGACACTTTCCTCTCTATACCATGGGAATTTTTTAATTTTAGCCATGTCTAATAACTCATTTCCACCTTTTAGTTTGTTGCTTCTTATCTGGGTGCAAGGAAACCAGACCATCAAGCTTGTAAGAACTATATATAGAATATAAAAATAAACAGGTCTGACATTCTCAATGGAAGGACTATCAAAGGCTTTTCTACTTCCTCCTGAGTCACCATCTATATTTCTAGTAGTTAAAGTTGTTGTGTAATGATCACTGAATAAGGTAGCAACATATTTTGGTTTATTAAAAGACTTTTTTCAAATGTTTTCAAAGGTTTCTAAAAATGGAAAACCACTTAAGAAATTTGTCACAATCAATTCAACAAATGCTTTTTGAGCATCCTCTATATATTTCCGGGACTGGGCTAGACATAACAGATTATGTGTGAACAAGATGCTATATGATCAAGGATGACTTCACCGAGGAAAGAAAGTTTAGGTTATTATTTAGAAATCCATCAATGTCACTCACCATAATGACAGATTAAATGTGAAAAAGCATCAGTTCACCTTAATAGAAGCTGAAAAAGCATGTGACATAGCTCTCAGCAGATGTGGAATAGAAGGTCCTCAACCTGGTAAAGGCATCTAAAAAAAGCTCCCAGCTAGCATCAAACCTGAAGGTGGAAGACTAGGAACAAGAGAAGAATGTCTGTCCACTTTCACCTCTTCTATTCAACAATGAGATGAAGCAAAAAGAAAAAGAAATAAAAGGCATTTTGAAAATGAACAGAGTCTGTTGATTTAAGAAAACCTAAAATACTTGTTCCTATTTGATACCAACAATAAAATTCACGTTTTCAAGTAAAACTTAGAATTTTGCAAAATTTATATCTGCCAAGATGAACCTGAAAGCTTCTGCAATACTTAAACAAACAAACCCTTTCTGATAAAACTTGTGACGATACTATTACAATTTAAATTTAGTAATGAAATGTATCATTATTTGAAATAACTTGAACCAGCACTTTCCAAATCACCAATGCATATTTTTACAAAACCATGCACAAGTAATTGACCTATTAAAAGTATGATAGATATTATTGCGAGAGAGAATTGGAAAAGTTTTTTATAATATGGTTTCTAACTCTACATTGCAACTGATTTAAGAATCAATCCCCTGCCCTAACCATTTGTTCAGTGATGAGAACATCAGCCCGAGGACAGAAGGGTCATGGGTTTGATTCCCAGGCTAGAGCATGTGCCTTGGTTGCATGTTCCATGCTCCCTGCAGGGTGCATGTGGGAGGAAACCAATCCATGTGTCTCTCCTCTTCTCTCTCCTCTCTCTTCTCTTCTCTCTTCTCTCTTCTCTCTCTCTCTCTCTCTCTCTTTTTCTCTCTCCTCCCCCCACTTTCCTATCTCCCCCTCTCCTTGCTCCCTTCCATTCTATATAAAAATCAACAGAAGCCCAGCTAATGTGGCTCAGTGATTGAGGGTGAACCCATGAACCAGGAGGTCATGATTTGATTCTCCATCAGAGCACAAGCCTAGGTTGCAAGCTCAATTGCCAGTAGGGGGCATACAGGAGGCAGCTGATTGATGTAATTCGTCATTGATATTTCTATCTCTCCCTCTCCTTTCTCTCTCTGAAATCAATAAAAAACATATTTTTAAAAAATAAAAATAAAAGCCAATGAAAGAAAAACAATCACCTGTGAAGTTTTGGTATAGTATCAAAAGGATATTAATAATTTGAAAGTTAATTTATTAATCAAGGTTTACAAAGTTGTGAGTTAAAACCTTGTTGACGAGAATATGAACTGGTACATTTTTGGAGGAACTTGCCTTTCCCTTTCCAAAGTAAGCAAAAGTATGCACACAGTGATGTTGAAGCTGCACTGCTTGTAACAGTAAAAAACAACAGGGAACTACCTAACCATCCACCAACCCTGGACTAATTAGGCAAAATATGCCATACCCATTTTGGAAGCA